GCTGTGCCTGTGTGTGTGTGTGGGGGGGCTTGTCTCTGTGTGTGGATGGGGGTATAACCCCACTCTGTACCCCTAGGGGCTGTGTGTGTGTGTAGGGGGTGGTTAACCCCCGTCGTTCCCAGCGTACACACCCACAGTACGGCACTACAGCCGCAGAGGAACCACCTGGATGGGGTTTAAACCCAACATCCCCTGGTCTAGACCCCGGGGGCACGGCCTAGTGTGGAAACAGTCCCCATCTGTCCCCATCACCTCCCTGATCCCCATCCCCCCAATGTCCTGCCCTCCCTGACCCATCCCTCCCTCACCCCACTCCCGACCCCCATTGTCCTGCCCAGCCGCCCCTGCCCCGAACCCGCTCCTGACGGCCCCGTCCCCGCAGGCGGGTTCCTGATGCACCTGGCCAGCGAGTGCCCCCTGGCAGCCAACGGCTCCGTGCTCCGGTTCGACTTCGCCTTCGTCTTCAACAAGAACCCGCTGGTGTGTTACAACGACCACGACCAGCTCTTCGAGGCCTGTGACATGGGCCTGCTCAACCCTTTGGCCGCACGTATGGCCGCCCAGCTCAACAAGGACGCCGGCTGGCGCCAGCGCATGGCAGGGGGGCGCCAGGCCTGCCAGAGCCAGAGCCAGCGCCTCTGGAGCCGCACGGGGCAAAGGAAGAGTGAGTGGGGGGCGCAGGGCACCGAGCGGGGTGGGGGAGGGACTGTGGGGCCCCTGGCACAGAGCTGGGTTGGGGGAGGGGGATGCGGGGCCCCTGGCGCTGAGCCGGGGTGGGGGACAGGTTTGATGCAGGGGGATACTGGGCTGGGGGCCCATGGGTCTGATCCCTGTGTGGTGGCGGTGGGGGTACCAGGAGCTGGTCCATACAGTGACTCCCACCCCCCCCGACAGCGCCTCCTAGTGTCCGCATCGTCTCCACGGCCCTGTCGAACCCCGCGGGGACCGTGCGCCTCACCTGCCACGTCTGGGGCTTCTACCCGGCGGACGTGGGGGTCACCTGGCTGCGGAACGGGAGCCCCCTGGAGCCCACCGAGGACGGCCTGAGCCCGGCGCTGGCCAACGGCGACTGGACCTACCAGACCCACGTCAGCCTGCTCACCACCCCCAAGCCCGGGGACACCTACACCTGCCATGTGCAGC